GCGCTTTCTTTTTTTCTTTTTCTTTTCTTTTCAGTCGCTCTCGTTGGCCTTTCTCTTATTCTTTATAGCATATCTCATTAGACAAAGAACGTCAGCGACCTTCTATCTAATAAATAAGAGATAGACATATGCTTCACGGTGTTGTGTATACTGCTGGTTTTAAAATGTAACAGCTGACTCATTGATTTTGTCTTAATTAGGAAACCTAAACAACGTCCTTTTAGAAATACGAAACGAGAGAAAATCTTTACAAGATTAATTTTCTTGGAATTAATAATATAGTAATTCTTTTTCATGGCTTTTTAAAAATATATTTGTATTATTTGTACAGAAAAATGAAACATCCGGAAAATGACACATCTGATAATTTTTTGAAATAATTTTTAGGTATTACAAAATAACATATGATGACGCAATTTAGTAAATGAATAGTTATAACAGCTATTCTCATTGCTAATAGTAAAACAGGAAAATTACACAATTTCAAATTTGATTGTGGAATAAATTAATGTTTTATCTTTGAAATAAGAAAAAACTCAATTGTGTCATTATTCACTAGAACACTCACAAACAATCATATTCTAGAGAATATAATTTTTCTCTGAATCTAAAGTATTTCAATATAACATTCTGCTGTGTATGTCAATTTTCGTCATGTTATAAACATGGAAAATATCATTAAGAATGCACGAGAATTTCCATGATGAATTACAAAAGAAAAGAAAGAAGATCCATTCAGAAGAAATAGTTGGTTCTCAAGTATTCACATTGATTTCTTTTAGTTATTTAGAATAGATTCCGAGCTGACAACGAAATTGTCGTAGTGATAGATATAGAAAATTATGAAGTTAAGCACATTATCTAAGACAATGCTTCTTATTGAATAAGCATATTACCTTTAAGAAACGAAATCAAACTGCACTTTAAGTACAAATAGAAATATATTTCTTCATTAATGTTTTATGTCAAATATGTATTTTATACGAACTCAATGTCAAATAATAAACGAAAGTTTTTTGAAAGACTTTTCTCTAGAACCTAAAAATTTGATAGTATCCCTTAGAAAAAATTCGACATAATAATCTTTTATATTCTCATTATATAATTGGTTTTCAAGTATGATCTCTCTTGAGACATTCATGCCCTTGTGTTATGCAAACATTAAATCAAACATAAAAACAATATAATCTAGTCAATTACCTGGTATCGATTATTAGTTTATTGAATTATAAGAATTCCTGTTGCAAAAAATCGTACTAAGATTTAATCTATAAAAACACATAGTGTATAAAAAAAAGCCATTCGAAAATAAGCAAACTCGTGTCAAATTTTAAATTTCCATTGTTTTTTTCTCTCCATAACAAAAGCATAGTTCTTGTTCTAAATATAAATCTTCATACAATTACAAGACTTAATTATATTTCAATAAAATTTCCATATTATTCATCAAGAATTGTTGCTATAGACAACTAAGGTTATTTATTCATAATATCTAATCAATATACACACAACAACGAAAAACAAAAATATATCTATGTTTTATTTGCATACATAAACAAAAATAGAATTTTTAATCAAAATTTGATTCACCTAATGTAACAATTCGTATTGTATGATGAGTTGCAACAAGAAAATTTTCTTCTTCTAATGCTCGAATAGCATCATCAAACATATCACGTGTTATACGTTCATCATTTCGTTCACGAATTTCATTGAATAATGTATCTTTTTTAATTGCTCCTGTACTTAATGTTGATTTACGTTCTTTAAGATAACGTTTAAGTATTTGAGCAAGATCAGCACGAAGACGACGTTCACCAGCACTAATACCTGTTGTTAAAATTGCAACATCAACACGACCTGTTTTTGGATCTACGGCCTATAAAATACTGATTATATAAATGTTTAAATCATTTCTAATACTTACTGCTTGTTTTAATGCTTCACGATAAAGTCTGAAGAAAAGAAATGAAAAATT